TAAAATAATTCCCACAGAAAAGAGCTGCATAGTTTAAAACAAAAGCCCAGGTTTGTGTTGCTCGTCTCTGCTTTTTATTTATTCAGTGGTCGCACCGTTTGCAGTCTTCTGCTGTGATCCGTGGATCCTGAATCCTGCCAGAGGGCATCGGGGGAACAGCTGCCGGGTCCTTTCAAGCTCTCGGGGTCTTCCTGAGGCAGCGCCGGGTGCACGCCTCCTGTCAGCGGGGCAGATTAGGCTCGGTGATGTGCCGAGCTGTGTTCGTGGCCTTATCGTCCATGCTGTATCACACGATGAAGCCACCTGTCAGAGGGAGCTCCAGAAAAGTCACCTGGGGTTTAAGGGGTCAGTATGAAGGTCTTTAAATGCCTGAGGTACAAACTGTGGTGGACTTGCAGTTTGAAGCTACTCACCACTGAGTTGTTGATGAACGTCAGAGCTTGATGCTTCATGGTGTGGACCAAGTGTAAAAACCTCAGGCTGAAACTGACACCGGTGATCTAAGGAGGGCAATAAAACGCCGGCTGTAGTCCTGCTGAAATGTCAGCTGCATAATAAGTGGAGCGTGGCGAGCGTTCGCTGGATACTCGTTAGTGTTGTCACACACGGAGCGCTAATGAAAGGCTGTTAACTGTAAAAGGCTGCGGAACAAAAGGAGTCGTGGTCGCGGACCAGAGCGGGGAACGCGCCTGCTGCAGGAACGTGGGTCAAACCCACAAACGAGAAACTGTTCGACATGAACAGGCGGGAGAGAGAGGCGTGAAACGGCCGCAAGACAACAGGAGACGATGGAGAGTGAAGAGAGCATGAGTGTGAAAAGTCAGTGAGAGCAGAGAAAGGACAAGTTCCCTCTAAAAGGCAGGAAACCAGAGCGAGGACGACTGCGGCAGACTGATTTATGGAGCTCACAGATGATGCAACCAAGTGATGCGAAGGTGGACAGCTGAGGTGAAGAAGAGTGGCAGGAGCGAGTGTGCGATGACGAGCCAGAGAATGGATAATAATCTGAATAATGTTGGCAACTGGCTTCTTCTCAGATAGTGTTTATTCACACGCCGCCTGCCAGTGAGCACAGAGGATTGTGGGTAAGGACTATGGCACAGTAAGATCCTGAACACAGACACGTTAAGGCTGCAGAAAGAGTGAGGATGATGCAGATGAGTCTCTTTATGTTTAGGCACCTGAAGTCAGCACGCCACAAACTGCAGTTCCTCTGATGACCACACGAGGCTGGCCCCCAGAGTGCGTCCACCCCACAGACCCTCACGTTAAAATGTTCAACTTTACAGCAGAAATGTAAATGCTGTGAAGCATTTTGTTGTTTCGTGTCATTTAATACACGTTTCTTGTCGTCAGCGCAGAGGAGGGAGGGTGGATGAGCTGGACACAGGATGATGACGATGAAGCTGTCAGGCGGGAGGAAACGAGGAAGAGCTCAGAGGAGGTTCGTGGATGTAGTGAAGGAGCACAGAGGAGGATGCTGGGAGAGGAGGTGGTGACGCCTGCGTCTGAGGTCATTTCCTGTTTTTTCTTTCTTTTTCTGTTTGTTCTGTTGTTTATCTTTTCCAAGCTCGTGTTTTATTTCGTTTTCAGGTCATCTTCAGTTTCTTTGACTTTCTGTTTGTGTTTTTGTATTTCTCACACTGATGTTGTTTATTTCTCTGCTGACATTTTGCATCTATCTGTTGTTTTTGTGACTTTTGTGCATTTTTCTTCCTTCTGCTGTTTTGTCTCATTTACATCTTTTACCTCTTAGCCGCTGAGCTGTGTTTTTGAGGCCCGTCGGACTGATTTCTCCTCCTTTGTGTGTCTGTACCTTTTGTCTCTTTCACGCTTTCGTTTTGTGCTAGTTTTGCATCTCGTTGGAGTCTTTTTCTTTCTTGTGTCGTTTTCTGCTTGTAGAGTCGCTGACTTTGGTGCTTGTTTGTCTTCTTGCTGTAATTGTGTTTCTCCCACTCACCGTGTGGTTGTTTCTGGGTTGTTTGGAGTCTTTTGTGATAGTTTTGCACCTTTTCTTGCATTTTCTGTCTGCCTCTGGTCACTTTGTGCACTCAGACATCAGAACACAAAAAAATGGCAATAAAAGTGTTCAGAAAGTGAAGGAGACACAAAATAAAATACTGTGAAACAACTGGAGATGTTATAAAGGGAAAAGAAATGCACGACAGCAAAGCTGAGAACTACAGAGGCGGTCAGGTATATATTTTTGAACACACATATAACCTATGAGCTCGTTCATAATTTAAGCTCCTGTGGAGCAGGTGGAGGAAAATGTCTCCGCAGTGACGTCAGCAGAGTCTGAAACTATAGATTCAATTATATGGTTTGAACCGAGAGCGGGCTGGACACGACTGTCATTACATTGATTCTGCTCCTGCAGCCTCAGTCCATTTAAAGTAAAAGGAAAGTACGGTGCACTGCGAGCGGGGCGCTGTCATTTCTGCTCTGCTTGTGTGTTTGACACACGTGCACGCACTGTCACATCTGCGTGCACGTGCGGCACGTGTGGATTTACGGAAATTGCTCAAACCCGCCGTCGCGGGCGTCCGAGCGAGCCTGTCAAATGATGCCAAGTGACGCACGGCGCAGCTGTAGTCAAGGAGATTTGCTTCAGATTTAGCACTCTGTGGATGCGAGCAATAAATAAATAAATAACAGCAGGGCGGCCGGGTGGTTCAAGAGGCCATCGGTTACATTAAAGGTCACCCCGTCGCAGCTTCGATCCGGCTCAGCCATCCGTCCCATTATTACCACAGCAATAATCCAGTAATCTGCTAATCAGGAGCTGTTCGGGCACAGCGTGGAAAACTGAGAAGCAATAAAATGGTAAGTAATTTGCAGATAAACACATGTGACTCAAAGTGTTACTATAGCCTTCTGTCTCACTGAAAAGATGCCCACTTTCCTCAGAAAATCCACAAATAAAGCTGGAAATGTTTCCCAGAGGATCGAACACAGAAACGGGAAGCAGTCCAAATCCTTTTCTTTTAAACAAACATCTTCCAAAGTGTCTGCATCAAACGATTAATACCCCTCTGTGATATTTGTAACGATACTTAAAGCAGACTGTCATCTTTAATTAGGACCACGGCTGTCTTCAGTTTATAATCAGCCTCTTTAAATGGAGACGAGTCCTCTGTGGGCGAATTTCAATCAGTAAAGACTCGTTTGAAAGGCATAAATATACATTAAGTGGTTTATTTGATGGCGCATATGATGAAGAAGCTTTTGGTGATCAGACCACACAGTGACGTCCTTATTTTAAGGCGACGATGGTGGTAGAGCTGTTTTTTATTTCAATTTAAATTATGTATGACATGAAGTCTCTTCTCACCTGAATGAGTGATGATTGAACAATTGAGCAATAATTGAGCAGCACTCTGAACGCTGCCTCACTTACTTCCGTCCGACTTTCATCACAGAGCCAACGTCTGCACACTCGAGCTCCGAGATCTTGACACGTTCAAATATCACAAGATACTCGGTGAGTTCAGCTCAGACGCCGTCCCAGAGGTGAGCTTGGAAATCAGGCTGAATTCAAAGTGAAATTAATTTCACTGACTGAATATTCTGAGTGGAAACAGCCTGGCTGATTTTCTTTCTATTAGCAACCACAGCAGTGCAAAACAGACTCGGCAGCTAATTAGGACCAAGCGTAAAAACATATTCATGCATTTATATTCATGTGGTAATGCAACACACAGTTTGCACTTCGTTTGGTGGCATCATTAATGTGCTGCTTACACACAGGTGTCAAACCTCCACACCTCATGCCTTTAGATTTTGCTTCCAAAGAGCCGGACTGTCTTTTTTTTGTTGTTGTTGTTGTTTTTTAAAGTGAGTTCTCCAAATTTCACAACTTTTTTTCCGTCCTGACTCATTTGAAAGTATATTCTTTTGTTTATGAACCTTTGAGTCATTCAAGGTCAAAACGCCTAACTCACTGGAAGAGCCAGTGTTGCATCTACGCATAAGATCAACCTAAAACCTAATCAATGTTAAATTAGATCTAAATTAGATCAAAGATAACGCAGTTTGATTAAAAATAGTATTTTTGCACCAACACAGTGACTCCCAAAGAGCTTTTAGCCTGTAACCTGTTATATCTCTGCAGCGTGTCCTTACACACGTGAAGAAACTGAAGACGTGGAAGAGTAAATGAACAGCATCTGAAATTCATGTTCTTAAGAAACGGGAAGAAATCCGGCAAAACCCTGACACAGGACCTGAGAGATGATCTGCACGTTTAGCTGATCATCAGAAATGTCTCAGTGACTGGCGGCTGTCAGGAAGCCGTTCTTAATAAAGGAAAACTGAGGCATGAAAACTATACAAGAACTGAACTGAAGATCAGAGGAACAGGTCTGATGGAGAGATGGATCCACATAATGGTCAGTATGTAGGAGGAGGTCCAACACTGAGAGTCTGCAGCCATCTGTGAGGCCGGGCGGAGGCTCTGTCATGGTTTCAGCATCATGTCAGTCAGTGGTTTTGGAGATCTTTAATAAACTGATGAATTATGAACTCAGAAAAGGACCACCACAGTCTGATCTGCTATCTGTAAACTTTGATTTTCAGCAGGACAATGATGCCAAACCCTGGCAGTGCAGTGAAATAAAGTGGATATAAAACACACACAGTATCAGTCGTGGATGGGCCCCCCCAGAGCCCGGACCCCAGCATTACTGAAGCAGTGTGGGATCATCCTGACAGAGACATCCTGTCCTTGAAAATGTTTCTAGGCGACCTTCACGACTCTGACTTTAAACACAACGCCTCTCATCCATTGACCGCACCTCTCAGGCATCATCTTTGTGTAATGTGTGGAAATGTAAAGTTTCCATGACTTCTTTATTACTTTTTTCCATTAGAAACGAGCCCACTTCAACCCCAACGTCCAAACCAGCTTTCTGATTCTGAAATCTCGACCCTCTAAGGGACGATAAAACACGCGCAGACGAGTCCTCTGCGTCTGCAGCGCTCCTGGTGTGGGCAAAGAGGTACTGCAACAACATCCATCACAACATCCATCTCTCTCCTCCTCTCTCTCTCCCTCTCTCGGTCCCTCCCCCTTCTCCTTTTTGCTGTTACCGGACAGACCGGAGCAGCATCCCCGCGTTATTGTAGCCAGGCTTCCTTCTGCTGTTCCCGCTGCACCTGCGTGAGCCGCTCGCCCCTTCAGTGAAGCGAACCCACAGCGCGATCACAGCAGCGGTGCGTGGAGCCCGGAGAGGAGGAGACGCGAGTGACCGTGGCCGGGATGAAGCAGGAGCGCACGGACCGTTTCCTCCGGTAAAAGAGCGGAGCAGGAGCCTGGACATCACCGGCGGGAAGCGGAGGCGGAGGAGGGGGGGAATTCGGGGATACAGCCATGGCGACGGGAGGAGGAGGCGGAGGTGGAGGAGTGAGGCGCAGGAGGAGGAAAGCGGGGCTCCCGGGGTTCTGCTGGAAGACCTGCTACTTCCCGCTTTTGTTCTGGGTCGTTTCCGCGTGCGGGGAGGAGAAGACGTTCATCGTGGAGGTGAGTGAGGAGGTGTGCGCGCGTGTGTTAAAGTGGGGTAAACACCCACGCCGTCATCACTCCCCGCGTTAACGGGCGCAGGCTGGAGCAGAGAGTCGTGCGGTCCTCGGGATGTTTTTCACGTCCGTGTCCCCCCCC